AAAAAAAAAAAAAAAAAAAAAAAAAAAAAAAAAAAAAAAACCCCCCCCACCCCAACAAAAAAAAAAAAACCGGGGGGGGGGGGGAAGAAGATATAACAACTATACCTTTTTGAAGTTGTTACAACAAGCAAACGGAAAGGACATTCTTGGGGGGGAAGGGAGAGAGGGAGGAGGGAGGGAGGTGTCGGTGATGGGCCATAATAATCATATACATTGTATATTGACAAAATAAAAATTTAATAAACTTATGTATTAATCAAGTAGAAATAACGTTTTTAATATTGTGTTCCCATTTAAGAACATCATATGGAATTTCATTAAAACATGTCTTTTTTCATGTCTTACCCTTAAAATGTTGTAATTTTTTTTGAAATGTAGGCAAGACTTTCAAATTTCTTATTCAGTTTATTTCTTAACATTTTGTTTTTTTTATTGCAATTATTAACACCATTCCCCAGTTACATAATATATGATTATTTCGGGCATGTAAAAATGCTATTAGGTTTGAAAGTTTATTCTGTATTGAAATAACCTTATTAAACAATTGGTAGTAGTGGTAATTTTCTAGATAATTTTCTTAAAATTTCTAAGTAAATATGCACAGATCATTTAAAATAATTTTATGTTTATCTGTCTCCTTCCAAGATTTACATCTCTTGCCTTTTAATTATCTAAATACACTGACTAAAATTTCTAAAGACAGGAGCAAGGAACAAAGGCAAGAGAAATATAACAGGCAAACTTGTCTTTCTAGGTATTTATGAAATCCACAAGAGTATTCACAAATGAGTGATAGGTAGACAATTATCCTTTATTACAGGCATTATTATTTCCTTGAAAATTTAGAAGAACTCTCCTTAAAACATATAGGCCTTGGGCCGGCCTGGTGGCGCACTGCTATAGTGCGCTGCTTGGGAAGCGCAGTGGCGCTCCCGCCGAGGGTTTGGATCCCACATGCAGACCGGTTGCCGCTCACTGGCTGAGTGAGGCGTGGGAGCAACGCCGAGGGTTGCGATCCCGTTGCCGGTCCTGGTCCGGTACGGGGGCGACACTGAGGGTTGCGATCCGTTGCCGGACACGGAAAAAAAAAAAAAAGACAAAAAAAAACAAAAGCAAACAAACAAAAAAAAAACATATAGGCCTAGTTCTCCTTACCATTTTTTTTATGAGCTTTCACATTTTTAAGTCTTTTATATCTGGATTTCTCTGCATTTAGGGGATTAGATTTTCTGGAAGTTTATTTATCTTCTCCCCCCTCCACCTCCACCCCCACCTCAGCTTAAATACCTCAGAAGCAACTCTGGCACTTATTATTCATTTTGTTTTTTTCTTTTAATAAATTTATCATTTTCTACTTTTATTTTTGTTGTTTAGCTACTCTTTTAAAATAATTAAATGGTTAATTTATGTATTTTAATTATTTCTACACTTATTAATAACAATGATGAGATTTAAAGATATAAACATGTCTCAAGTGCAGCGTTAGTCACATGCCATAAAGTTTGATATGAAGAATCCTCACTATTGTTATTTTGTAAGTATCCTATAACTGTAGCTTTGGTTTAATCTCTAACCAAAAAATCAAATAACTAGAAGATGGGTTTGTTGTTTAATCTTTCTTTTTTAAAAATTGCTGATGGAGTTGGGATGTGTTGTCCCCTCCAAAACTCATTTGGAAATCTGCACAAATTTCTAGATATAATGCATTATGATTATACCATGTGGTCTATATAATTTCCTCTTGGGGGATTCTGTTTTTCATAGACGTTTATGACAGTGATCTATTAAATACATTATTCCTATCATATTATTCAAATCCTGTAGATTCTTATCTGCCTAGTAAATCCTGTCAAAGCCAGAGCGTGTTAGTTTCCCACTGCAACTGAAACCATTGTGTTGTCTTATTGTTCTGTCCTTGTATGTCTGAGCCTTTAGCTTCATATATTTTGATGCACCGCTATTTGACACATAAAAATTTCTATTTGGGGAGGTGTTGTAACTTGCATTAATATAAATTGATACAATTTGTCATTTAACCTTTTTGTCCTTGAAAGATATGAGACTGAAAGTTTAGTATCACCAACCTGACTGTCTGCAGTAAGTTTTACAAGTGATATCTTGCTTATGCATTTATTTTTAACTTCTAGGTCATGCTTTTTTAGATATGTGCTTTTTGAGGAGAACATATAATTGGATTTTAGTATTCAACTCGACCTGAGCATCTTTTAATGGAGACTTTGTTTAATTTGCTTTTCATGTCTTCAAATAAACATGTCTTTATTTTACTAGTGATTACCTCTAAGTTTTAAAAAATAATTTGAGCCCCTTTTTCTCTTCTTAGGTCACAAACTGAAACAATGTTTGTTGATCCTTTCCTATGTAAATTAAGGAACATAACATGATAATTTCTCCTACTCCTTTAAAACACTTTCCAGTGTAAGATAATATAATCCATCCTTCCTGATCAATTATTTATTAGTAGTTTTATATTATGTATTGTCTTTGTCAGGAATTATTTTTACATTTTCATTGCCTTTGCATGAACAGATTTACAATAATCATTTACACCCATGGTGCCCATTGCCAGACCTCCAATGCCACAACTTCCCCAAGCTTCAGTTCTCTTGTTTTTTTAATTTTGTTGTCCCTCCTGACAAGCATGGGTATATCCAAAGCTAGAAACTGGATGTGTATGGGATTTGTCTTCAGTGATGAAATTCAAAATATTCACTAGAATATGTGGACATAATGAACTCTGCCCTTGGTAGTTTCAACGGTTTCAATGACTACTCACCAAGTGGTACTTCAATTGAATTGTTTTTTGCATAAGTGATTCTAGGGATTCTCCTTCCATCTCCAGATCTTTCTGCTAATAAATCATTCCAATAGAAAGTTGCATTAGAATCATGTAGGACACATTCCCAAGTTCTTTAATGCAATAGCATGAAGAAAGCACAGCACAGAGCAGACCCTTAGAAAACACTGGTCAAGAAAAAACAAACCCCATGACGTGACAAAACACCACTCCATATATGCACATTTTTCAACCAGAAATAATTGAATTGCTAAAGAGAAAAAAACTAGAAGCTGAGCTAGCAAGAGAGTTCCCTTTGGCCATTATATATTTGACATAAATTTAAACTAATGAGATTGTATAACAAAATCTCATTACTTAAAAATCTGAATACATGTTTCAAGAGGTGTCTACAAGGAAAGCTGTGGCCTAGGTCCTAGGTAGAGAGAACTACTGACCCTACCGCTCTGTCTTCAGTCCACCCTTCCCTCCTCCAACCCTGCTTCTCACATTCTTTTACGTCCTTCCCCTTCTGTTATTCTTCAACTCTTTCATTCCATCACCCACTTTATGACTGTCACTTCGTATTGGCTCTCCGGACTCCTTGCCATTAGTCTTTCTCCACTTCTTTCCTTTTCTCATCAAAAGGATGTTTGCCCATCAAAATTTAGCAATTACCTACTTAATCCATATTCTCCTATACATTTGCAGTGGGATGTGGAAAAGTTATAAAACGGAAGCTAGAAAAAATGTCCTGTATGATGGCAATAACATTTGTGCCTTCTGCAAACTATTTAAATTCAGCATGTGCCAAACAGAAGTTACTTAATGTCCCACCACACACTAGATCACACACATGTAAAATCTGGAANGTGTTGTAACTTGTATTAATATAAATGATCCAACTTGTCATTTAACTTTTTTGTCCTTGAAAAATATATTGTGAGACTGAAAGTTTAGTATCACCAACCTGACTGCATTAAGTTTTACAAGTGATATCTTGCTTATGCATTTATTTTTAACTTCTAGGTCATGCTTTTTTAGATATAAGCCTTTTGAGGAGAACATATAATTGGATTTTAGTATCCAACTCAATCTGAGCATCCTTTAATGGAGACTTTGTTTAATTTGCTTTTCTTGTCTTCAAAAGGTACTCAACATGTCTTTATTTTACTAGTGATTGCCTCTAAATTTTAAAAAATAATTTGAGCCCTTTTTCTCTTCTTAGGCCACAAACTGAAGCAACGTTTGTCGATCCTTTCCTATGTAAATTAAGGAACATAACATGATAATTTCTCCTCCTTTAAAACACTTTCCAGAGTAAGATAATATAATCCAACCTTCCTGATCAACAGCATTTATTAGTAGTTTTATATTATGTATTGTCTTGTCAGGAATTATTTTTACACTGTTATTGTCTTTGCATGAATGGATTTACAATAATCATTTACACCCACGGTGCCCATTGCCAGACCTCTGATGCCACAATTTCCCCAAGCTTCAGTTCTCTTGTTTTTTTTAATTTTGTTGTCCCTCCTGACAAGCATGGGTATATCCAAAGCTAGAAACTGGATGTGTATGGGATTTGTCTTCAGTGATGAAATTCAAAATATTCACTAGAATATGTGGACATAATGAACTCTGCCCTTGGTAGTTTC